AAAATTTCATCACAAACAGTAGCCAACATCATAGACATCTCAATTGATTCAACTTGCACAATATTGACTGAAAAGTAAAGTTGTGTAAAGTTTCCACTTGATGGGTGCAAATACCATTGTGCCCAGATTGCTGCAGACAGAACAAGAGTTTTCAACAGACATTCAAAACATGACTTTATTAGTACAATTCTGAAGACAAAGCACAACCAAAGCAATGGCTACCAAGAAGGAGCAGTCATCCAGTCAAAGCAAATGTGGATCAGTTAAGAGTGAAGGTAGCACTTTGGGAGGCCGAGGTGAGTGGATTGCCTGAGCCCATAGGTTCAAGACCTACCTGGGCAACTTGGCGAGACCTCATCTCTACAATAAATCAAAAATTAGCCGGGCATGGTAGCGTGCGCCTGTAGTTCCAGCTACTTGGAAAGCTGAGGTGGAAGGATTGCTGGAGCCCTGCAGGTCTAGGCTGAGGTGGCCAGGAGCAGCCACTGCACTCCAGTCTGGGTGACAGAGTGAGACTCCAACTCAAAAAAAAAAAAAAAAGAGTGAAGGTAATGGCAACAGTCTTTTGGGGGCTGCCCAAAGCGTTTTGCATGTTGATTTTGTGGAAGGCCAAAGCATCTGCTTATTATGAGAGTGTTCTGAGAAAGTTAGCCAAAGCTTTAGCAGAAAAACTCCTAGGAGAGCTTCACCAGAGAGTCCTTCTCCAACCATGGCAATGCTCCTGATCATTCCTCTCATCAAACATGAGCAATTTTGTGAGAGTTTCTGTGGAAAATCATTGGACATCCACTTTACTGTCCTCATTTGGCTCTTTTTGGCTTCTTTTTGTTTCCTAACTTTAAAAAAATCATTAAAGTGGACCTATCTTTCCTCAGTTAATAATGTAAAAATGACTGCATTGACATGATTAAATTTCCAGGACCTTCAGTTATTTAGGGATGGACTAAAGGGTTGGTATCATCACTTATAAAAAATGTCTTGACCTTGATGAAGTATATATTAAGAAATAAGGTTCATTATTTTTTAAATCTTTTATTTCCATTTTTCCATAAACTTTTTGAAGTCTTCTTGTATTTTAAGTCAGAGGTTCCCAATCCTTTGTCATGAAGATACCACTTTCTTTAAAAGGTCAAGGTAATCACTGGTAAAGAGCACAGATCCTGGAATCAGACTCTGGGTTCAGATTCCAGGTTTGCCACTTACTGTATGACTCCAGCATGGCTCTTAGCCCCTCTGATCCCCAGTTTCATTATCTGTAACACAGGGATAGTAACAGTCCTAACTTCATAGGACTGTTAGGAAAATTAAACAAGTCAAAATTTTTAAAGTGCTCAGAACCATGTCTGGCAAGTTAAATAAACAAAATTTCACAAGAAGGTAGTATCTTTTTTGACTCTACAGATTTAGAAAATACACACTTAACACCCAAAGTTACTATGAGTTTTGTAATGCCTTATAAACAATTTATATTTTGTTTCTCACATCTGGATCTGTGACAAATGCTATTACTTATCAGTCTATAGAAACTTTTTGATGTGTACATGAATTTGCAATAAATCTGAGGATATATGAAGTTCACAATACACATATATGTTCCATACACTGATCCTCAATGTCTTCAAAGTAGGACTACAATTAGTTATTTTTAACTGATTAGAATTCTCCCAGAATTTTTATGTGGGAGTTTACACTAACATGATCTTTTCCTTCCTCCTACCAGAATCATGGCCCAATATAACCCTACAAGAGTTTAGTAAACAAAGCCAACACATACTGCAGGAATCTGGCACCCTGGAAACTTAACATAAGAAATTATTTACTAGAGTTCTAGGAGGTATGCTTAGAATGTAGCTGTAATAAAGAAAGCTTAAATCTACTTGATTTCATTGCCTGAGAATTGACTGCATTAGCAAAAGGGGTTAGTAAAGAGCAGGAGTGGAGCATGGCCAGAAAACAAAAGGTGTCCATGGGTCCCTTGCATTGTCTAGAAGAGAAGGCACCCTGACCTATGAATACAAAGATTCCATTCTCTTTAACTATCCCTACACCGTGGAGATATAAAGCCTCATGACTGCATCATTAATTTTTTCTTTACCTTCCTTTGTTCTGATCCAAGTTTACCAAGCAACATTCTGGTGATAATATGACTTCCTCTATAGGTTTGTGGAGGGGGGCGGAATATGCTTAGCACTATTAATTTTCAGCATCAGTGAATAAATCGACATTCTGGATTATACAACAGTTGTTATGAATGAATTTATTTGCCACGAGTCTGAAGGACTCAGCACTTTTGATGCCCAAGAGGAGCATGGTTCAGCACCTCCAAAAGAACAGACTAGAGGAAGAGACACTGAAGGGAAGGGACCACAGGCACTACCGCCTCACTCCCAGCTAGTGTCTGTAGAGGACATATCCATCTCATTTTTTATACTAGCACATCACCCAGTACAGAACTCCCCACTTCCAAGAGGATTATAACTTTGGATTTTCCTGGTAGGGGAAGTCCCTGAGTATATTGTTCTCCCCAGGAAAAGTTGGCTAAGGTGCATCTGAGACTTTGACAATGAATTCTGATTAGGAATGTGTGCTGCATCAATGATTTGATACTACCACTTTTATGCTATATTGATTTGTTCAGTTCATCAATTATCTTGAGTAATAGGCAAAAGATTTTATTGGAAGATGTATGGTTGTAAAGATGGATTATAAAAATGTGGAAGCAGCCGGGCTTGGTGGCTCAGCCTGTAATCCCGCACCTTTGGGAGGCTGAGGTGAGTGGATTGCCTGAGCCCGCGGGTTCGAGACCCGCCTGGGCAGCGAGACCTCATCTCTACAATAAATCAAAAACTAGCTGGATGTGGTAGTGCACGCCTGTAGTTCCAGCTACTCGGAAGGCTGAGGAGGAAGGATCGCTGGAGCCCGGCAGGTCGAGGCTGTGGTGGCTGGGAGCGGCCACTGCACTCCAGTCTGGGTGACAGAGTAAGACTCCAACTCAAAAAACCAAAAAAAAACCAAAAAAAAAATGTGGAAGCAAAGCCGGGCTCAGTGGCTCAACCTGTAATCCCGTGCCTTTGGGAGGCTGAGGTGAGTGGATTGCCTGAGCCTGCGGGTTTGAGACCTGCCTGGGCAACTTGGCGAGACCTCATCTCTACAGTAAATCAAAAATCAGCCGAGCATGGTAGCGCGCACCTGTAATTCCGGCTACTCGAAAGGCTGAGGTTGGAAGGATCGCCCGAGCCCAGTGGGTCGAGGCTGCAGTCGCCAGGAGCGGCCACTGCACTCCAGTCTGGGCAACGGAGTGAAACTCCAACTAAAAAAAAAAAAAAATGTGGAAGCAGCCCAAGTGTATATCATTGGATGAATTTCAGCCTTAAAAAGAGAGAAAAGCCGGGCTCGGTGGCTCAGCCTGTAATCCTGCGCCTTTGGGAGGCTGAGGTGAGTGGATTGCCTGAGCCCACGGGTTCAAGACCCACCTGGGCAGCGAGACCTCATCTCTACAATAAATCAGAAATCAGCTGGGTGTGGTAGGGCACACCTGTAGTTCCAGCTACTTGGAAAGCTGAGGTGGAAGGATCGCCGGAGCCCAGTGAGTTGCGGCTGCGGTGGCCGGGAGTGGCCACTGCACTCCAGTCTGGGTGACGGAGTGAAACTCCAACTCAAAAAAAAAAAAGGGAGAAAATCTGATACATGCTACAATATATATATGAACCTCTAGGACATTATACTCAGTGAAATAAACCAATCACAAAAAGACACATACCATATGGTTTCATTTATATGCAGTGTCTAGAGCAGTCAAACATAGAATGAAGTAGAATGGTGGTTGCCAGGTGCCAGGGAAGGGGGAATAGGGAATAGGAGTATAGCGTTTCAGTTTTCCAAAATAGTTTTAGAGACGAATGGCTGCTCAACAGTATGAATGTTTTTAATGCCACTGAACTGTGAACTTAAAAATGGTTCAGGGTTGGTTGCGGTGGCTCACATCTATAATCCCAGCACTTTGAAAGCCTGAGGTGGGAGGATCACTTGGGGCCAAAGTTCAAGATCAGCCTAGGTAATATAGCGAGACTTTGTTAAAATTATAAAAAATGTAAAAGTGATTAAGATGGTAAGTTTTACGTTGTGTGCATTTTACCGCAATTTTTAAAAAGGGGGGATGGATTATGGTTCCTGTCTTAAGGTGCTTACAACAGCCTATGTAAGAGGGAACAAAGAAGGGAATGTAAGGGGAGAGGAAAGAAGCGGCTTCAACCTTCGAGCAGGCTTCACAGACTTCACTCCCTTCCTGAAAACTGTTTGAAAATGTTGCAAAATTAATAATACCCTTATCCACTGCACTTGCATAACTGGCTATATCTGCTTCTGTAAAATTGCTTGCTTTCCCACACTAGCAGAATAATGCAATAAGAGCCCCAGAATGTCCCAAGTTCTATCTTTAGCCCACTAGAATGTAAGTCTAAACTACTTAAGGCAGCCCTGTGTTGCAGGTGGCCACCCTTGCTTTGGCATTTATTATCCAGCAAGTGGCCACTGGAGATGGCTGAATCTGGCTAATAAACCTCTCCTTTGTTACTTATAACTTTGTATCGGTGTCTGTGATTTAGGTCCTCGGACCCTACTTCACCTGTATGAGAGGCGACAGGAGGGTTGGAACAGCATTTGGGAACTCAGGCTAAAGAGCTGACCCGGCCATCTCAAGAAGAAACTGACGCAAGAGGTAGACTACTATGTAGTTCCTTCAAATGCTTAAAAACCATTTAACAGAAGCTTCCTGTGGCTGCTTGAAAAACATTAGGCCCAGGAGAACCGTACGGGGTTGAGCCTCCTCTTGTCAGTTCAGCGGTCGCTCCCAGGGTTTGGAGCCGAGAGCCCTCGCTGGCCCAGCAGATGGCGCCGGCGCCCGCTGTGCACCCCTAGGCGCACAGGTAACGCTCTAGCCGCTCTTTCCTCCGCGCCTCTGCGACTCTTCCGCCTCCCGAGCCCGCCTCCCCTAGCGTCAGCGCCCAGTGCGCGTGCACCGGCTGCCGGCCCGTAGGGAGCATGGCTGCGTCTTCGAGTGGCGAGAAGGAGAAGGAGCGGCTGGGAGGTGGCTTGGGAGCGGCAGGTGGTAACAGCACGCGCGAGCGGCTGTTGTCTGCGCTTGAAGATCTGGAAGTCCTGTCAAGGTAAAAGTGCCAGGCAGAGCCCGACTGGGCGGGGCGGGGCGGGGCCGGGGGACGACTCCGGAGCCCGCCGGCCCTGCGAGTGCGCCGCGTCCCGGGGCCCGGCGGGGAGGGCCGTTCCCGGCAGTCTCCCGCGCTCGGGGGTCTTGGGCGTGGGATCCGCCGCCCTCCGGGACTCTGGGCGGCATGTTTTCCTCTTAGAAGGTAGCTTAGTGATGACGGTGGTCCTGTCGCGCGGTTTTTGCCGCTTCGTCCACGGACATTCGACAAGCGTTTATGGAACGGCCCCCTGCTGATAGTGAGGGGGAGGCCGGATGCCACCTGTCGAAAGAGAGAGAGGTGTAAACTGGCGCGAGGCGTGTCTTACTAGAGGCCTGCGCTGCGGGCTCCGGGAGCACGGGGACGAAGCACCTTTAACGGTTGCAGACAGGACAAGGCTTCCTGAAAAAGTGGCTGCCTGGGCAGGAGTTCACCAGCCTCACTAGGCGGCGGGTAGATGGCACGGCCTGTGTAAACGTCTGGAAACGTGAGCACGCACAAGTTGTGCGTGCTCACAAGTGGTCTGGGATGGCTGGAGTGCAGCGTGTCTGGCAGAGATCGGAGATAAAATGGGATGTCGTTCTTCCTGTTGTCCCTTTCAAGTTGGCGACTTCTTAACTTCCTCACGTTTTTTTGGATGTTAAATCGGGCGGGTTCGGGTTTTCTCATTCCTGTCCCCCGCTGTCATAACTACTTATGCAGCCTCCCAACAGTTTTGCTTGCCATCGAGCTTCTGCACTTTATCCCTCGATATTGCCCAGGATCGGTTATTTTAAAAGGCATTTTATATAACTCCTCTGTGGAAAAACAGTTGGTAGATTCCCATTGTTCAGTGAGATGAAGTCCGAATTCCTGAGGTTCGTGTGCAGCAAGGCCTTTCCCAGTCTCCTCTGAATCCATCCTGTTACTCTCATTTGCTGCCACGCCTCTCTGTCCTAACCCTTCACTCCAGCCTCCCTGAGTACTCCTATTCTCAGGCTAGCCAGACTTCCTCATCTTCAGTGCCGTTCCCCACTCCACCGCCAATTTGGTAAATGAAGCATTTATCCTCCAGACTTCAGCTCAAATGTCACTTTTTCTGGAGCCGACATTCTTGGACAGTTTTAGAATAAATCTTATCGTGTTTTGAAATGTACCTGATCTATTTATAATCAGCATTATATTCTTGCTATACATTTAGTCCTTGCCACAGCATTACAAATCAGATTAGCAGGTAAGCAGAATGTTGAATGAAAAACACACAAACACCAGAAGTTAAATGCCTATGTGTTTAATCCCCTGTTTGAACTGTGTAAGACTCGAATATTGCTTCACAACAAATAGGGCACGTGGAATTTTCAACCAGCCTGTGATCAATATAGTGAACTCATGGGTACAGGCAGCTGTCTTAATGTATTGCCTCTGTGCAGATGCTTACACAGATTTATGCAAGTGCCGTTTCCTTTTTTATCTTTGCTGGTTTTTTACTTTGTGGTAGAAAACTTGTTAGTTTCTTCATTATTAGTTAATCCTCTTAAATGAATACCCTCTGCCAGGCTTGGTGGCTCAGCCTGTAATCTCACGCTTTGGGAGGCCAAGGTGAGTGGATTGCCTGAGCCCGTGGGTTCGAGACCCGCCTGGGCAACTTGGCGAGACCTCATCTCTACAATAGATCAAAAAATTAGCCGGGCGTGGTAGCGCGCGCCTGTAGTTCCAGCTATCTGGTAGGCTGAGGCGGAAGGATCGCCGGAGCCCAGCAGGTCGAGGCTGCGGTGGCCAGGAGCGTGCCACTGCACTCCAGTCTGGGCGACAGAGTGAGACTTCAACTCAAAAAAAAAAAAAGAATACCTCATTATTGCTTAGTAAAAAGACACTAGCGAGGCAGAGTATTCATAGTATGATTTTTTCAGTTAAATTATTCATCTTTGTTCTGTGTGTGATACGACTGTCTTTAAGGCAGCTAATTAAAGCTTTATTCAGTTCGTTGTTATTAAACTCCAGATTGATATCCCATAAATACTGCTTAACCCACTGCTTTTCTAAACAGGACTGAATGAACTTTGAGAAACTCAGCATGCTCCACTTAACCAGTTATTTTAGAATCACTGGTCTGCCATACTCAGTTTCTGAAATACCTTCCTTGAAGAGGTAGCCATGAAGTTCTACATTGGGTTCAGAACACCTAGTGATTAATTGGGAAGCACCTCTGTTGCTTTTGTATGAGCTAGTTTTTTTAATTTTGTATGTTCTGCTTGAAAATTTCCCTTGATCTATTTCATCTGGGATAATTCTCACCTGATGGCTAAGTCTGATACTTGGTTGGCTTCCACTTCTTTGCTAAGGAATCTTGATGCTGCTGGTGAATGTGAAATTAATCGAGTTAAAGTGTTTCTCATTGTTTGTTCATTTCGACCAATCATATGGTATGGATGATAGCAGTTAATTTTTCCGTAAATATGTTGTATTTGTTCAAAAGTGACACCTTTTTTGGGAAGTAGTTGCTGCCATCTTTTGTTCTGAGTAGGTCTTATTCTTAGAATTTCAAATCTTTGCCTTACTATTTTTAATGAACTGTTACTTCTCACTTCTCTCCTCTTGAGTCCAGTACATTCATTTCTTTTCTGAACTTTACTTACTGTACCATAATTTGTTTTTCTGAGTGGATTTGAAATTTAGGATATGTTGGCCAGGCTTAGTGGCTCACACCTGTAATCCTAGCACTTTGGGAGGCCAAGGTGGGAGAATTGCTTGAGTCCAGGAGTTTGAGGTTTCTGTGAGCCATGATTGTGCCACTGCACTCCAGCCTGTGCAACTGAGTAAGACCCCTACTCAAAAAAAAAAAAAAAGAAAGAAAGAAAAGAAATTTAGGATTTCTTACTAATTGTATAGACTTTCATTTTGTAAATTTACTTCATAAGATGTAATAGAATGAGGTAACCTTTTGAGGAATTTTTTAAATGGAAACACAAATTGTATTTTTTAAGTTTTTTTAAAATTTATTTTTTATTTTTTATAGTCAGGGTCTTACTCCGTCACCCAGGCTGGAATGCAGTTGCATGATCATGGTTCAGCCTTGACCTTCTGGGCTCAGGTGATCCTTCTGCCTTAGCTTCCCGAGTAGCTAGGACTACATTTGATAGATGTTTGTTTAATTTTAAAAATTTAATTAAAGTGGCGAATCTTTAAACAATAATTCATGCATCCCTTAATTGTTTTAATTTTACCTGAAAACATATAAACTCATATTCATCTGCTAATCATTTCATGAAAGACAAGGGTCGGGAAACTTTTTCTGAAAGGACTAGATAGTAAATATTTTTTATTTGGGGGGTCATATGGTCTCTGCTGTAACTACTTAACTCTGCCCTTAAGTAGGCAAGCAGCCATAGACAATATGTACATCACTGGGCATGGCTCTCTTCCAAGAAAATGATATTTGCAGAAACTGTAGACCCTTTATGTAGATGGTTTTTGGTTTTTTTGTTTGTTTGTTGTTTGTTTTTACAAAACTCAGAAGTCATAAATTTCTAGATCAAATCAAAATGAGAAGTTAGCCTCTTATCAAGCAATCTTTGATAGACTCTGAGATTTTATGACTTTTCCCTGGTTCTTTATGCTGTTCTTTGCAAACCTCTGCTGAATCTTTTCTAAGCATTCAGCTTAGGTTTTTATGGAAAGAACTGTTTCTGTTCACAATCATATTTCATTGATATTTATGTAATGGATATTTACATAATTATAGTAATAAGTAGAGCTTGCATAAGTGAGTTTAGTAACAAGCACAACTGAGTCTTGGTGAGAGCTGAAGCCCACAGTCATGGTGGGCTGCAGGGAAGGCTACATGTGTTCAGCATGCGGTGAGTACCATGAATTCAGCAAGTCATTTGGGTAAAGAGCAGGTAAGAAAGCCTCTATTGTATGTAGAGACTTCACAGTGGTCTTTTTTCATGGGTTTTTCTCTTAGGGAACTTATAGAAATGCTGGCAATTTCAAGAAACCAAAAATTATTACAGCCTGGAGAGGAAAATCAGGTAAGTGGTTGCTTTTAAAATTAATTAATTTTTAAATTTTAAAAATGAAAAGCTATAGTTGCTACAAGTTTACTTTATGTGTGAACAGGAAGATTGGATGCTTTTTTTTTGAGCTGGGCTCACAGATTGGAGTACAGTAACCTAATCACAGCTCACCATAGCCTCAAACTCCTGGGCTCAAGTGATCCTCCTGCCCCAGCCTCCTAAGTAGCTAGGAGTACAGGCACATGCCACCACACCTGGCCAATTTATTGATTTTTTTTTTTCTTTATAGAGCCAGGGTCTCATTATATTGCCCAGGCTGGTCTCAAATTCCTGAGCTCAAGCAATCCTGTCGCCTCAGCCTTGCAAAGTGCTGGAATTACAGGCATGAGCCGCTGCACTTGGCTGGATACTTTTAAGTTGTTAATTAAAACTTTAAAATTGATATTTTCTTTGTACCATTTGTATAAGATAACAGTGTCTAATAAGAAAATAGTTGCCTAAGAGTTTAGCAGTATTTTATTATTTTCCCTTATAGTTCTAGTTAGACACATTTATTTTTGTCTTTTGAATTAAACTTGCTAAATAGTGATTAAAACAGTAGTTAGAATCAAAGGTTAACACTTTCATAAATGTAGCCAGTAGGCTCGGTGCCCCTAATGCACCTTGAAAATGAATGGAAATAAAAGAGTATATACCTGTTAGTAGAAGTTATCTTGTGGGTGTTGAATTTACAGACAGTTTTTTTTTGTTTGTTTTTGTTTTTTTTTGAGTTGGAGTCTCACTCTGTCACCCAGACTGGAGTGCAGTGGCTGCTCCTGACCACTGCAGCCTCGACCTGCTGGGCTCCGGCAATCCTTCCATACAGGCAGTTTTTATCTGCTTTATACTTTTCTGTGCTTTTTAATTTTCTACAGCTAACAGGTTTTTTTATTATTATTATTCAGAAAACTTTTAGAGGTTAAGAGGATAAATTTTATGTTTTTACCACAATGTAAAAACATTTTTTAAGAGAAATGGGGAGGATTAACCTTTCTAAAGAGGATATAATATAGAAGAGGAGGTGGTATCTGATAGACTCTTCTCTCCATCCTCTGCCCATTATCTTAGTTTTATTTTGTGACATGTTTTGAGAGCAGAAAAATCTCATGGAGTCCAGAGAAGGCCACAAGTTGGGAAAAGCTGCTAACTTAAGAATGTTAGGGTTTTTGTTTGTTTTGTTGTTAGAAAAAGAAAGAGGCTAGAATTTTGTGTTAATAGATGCCTAGTTTCTCAGATACTCTATTAATACCTGTGGGATTAAGTAAGAATGCATACAAAATATGCAAGAAGTGAAATGCAAGGCTTGACTTCATTTCATAAACACTTTATGCTTGCTATGAACCAGGCACACCGAGATTATTCAGAAGGTGATAATTATTCAGAAGGCATAATCGGCACACACTTTACTTGTACTTTCTAAGGAGAAGTAATTCTGTGAATTGTATCTTGTATTTAGTACTGTGGATTTCTGTGTAATTTTCATTGAAAGTGTTAAATATTAGAGAGGGATGTGCCCATGTGAAAATTTTCTAGCCACCATTTTATTTGAATTGCATGTAGATTTGAAGTTAGAAAGGATCTTAATATGGTCTTCAGCAAATGGAGGACTAGAGATATGAACCCCACACTTTTCTATTTCATGCATTTTTAACCAACCGTGGTTTTTGTGTGTGTGTGCCATATCACATACCATCTATTACAGTTTTTTGAAATCACTGTATTTCTTAGACCATCTTCATCCTTGGCAATACCGTGCATGAAATCACAGGTTAGATGTCCCAGTTATATTTTTTTCTAACATATGTTAGAACAAATGTGTAAATGTAAGTTTTTTTTTTTAAGTTCTTAGTACCACCTAGAATCATCTCAAGTGTCACATTTTGTGAGAACCTCTAGTATATTGTATTTTTAATGTTACACTTTAAAATTTTATCTTACTGGGAAATGAATAAACCTACTTGTGTTGGCATATTACTAGTTTTTAAAGACTTGTTTTATTTTGTTTTGTTTGAAAGAATAGCAGAAAAAGTAGAATATTTTGATACTGATTTGTTTCTCAAAATAATCATAAATAGGCAATTTTTATTAACAAAGATTAGGAATAATATTTTGAAGGTATTGAAACTTTACAGTCTAACCAGTTCATGTATGAATTGTTTCAATGGAGTGTGGCCTTTCTGTATTCTGTTATCTGATTTAATCAACCGTTATCTGACAGGTCTTAGAGTTGTTAATTCACCGAGATGGAGAATTTCAAGAACTAATGAAATTGGCACTTAATCAGGGAAAAATCCATTATGAAATGCAAGTTTTAGAAAAAGAAGTAGAGAAGAGAGACAGTGATATTCAGCAGCTACAAAAACAGCTAAAGGAAGCAGAACAAATTCTGGTAAGTTGACAAGAGTTGGTTTTTAAGGTGAAAAAGGATGTTGTTGTTTGATCGATTTCAGAAAAGTCTGTTTTCAGCATTTTGAAGAGCAGAAAACTCAACTTCCCATGTCTAAAAATGACATCTTGTCAGTGGTTAAATGAAAGGCCATTGTCATTTTCTTTTTCACTTATTGTTTTCAGGTAGCCTGCATTACTTTTGAGCCACATTTTCATTATTTAAAGAGTCTACACTACAGCATTGAATTGAAAAGTTTTATTTTATCCTTATCTGATGTAAGTTTTCATTATTTTATTTTATTTTTTGAGTCAGGGTCTTGCTCTGTTGCCCAAGCTGGAGTACAGTCATGGGTCACTGTACCCTCCAACCCTTGGGCTGGAGCAAGCCTCCTGTGTCAGCCTCCCAAGTAGCTAGGACTACAGGTGCATGCCATCACATCTGGCTAACTTTTTTATTTTCAATTTTTTTTAGAGACAAGGTCTTGCTATGTTGCCCAGGCTGGTCTAAAACTCCTGGGCACAAGCAATCTTCCTGCCCTGGCTTCCCAAAGTGCTGGGATTACACACTGCTCAGCCAGTTTTCATTATTAATAGTCTAATCTTCAGGATTTTTCTCTCTTGCTCTTTTTTTCTTTTTGGTCTTTAGTTTTTCCTTTGTTGTTTTTGGCTACTATTTCTTTTCTTTTCTCTTTTTTTTTTTTTTTTTTTTTTGAGTTGGAGTCTCACTCTTTCACCCAAAACTGGATTGCAGTGGCATGCTCCTGGCCACCGCAGCCTTGACCTGCTGGGATCCGGCGATCCTTCCAAGTAACTGGAACTACAGGCGCGTGCTACCACACCCAGCTAATTTTTTATTTATTTATTGTAGAGACAAGGTCTTGCCAAGTTGCCTGGGTGGGTCTCGAACCTGCAGGCTCAGGCAATCCACTTGCCTCAGCCTCCCAAAGTGCTGGGATTACAGGCTAAGTCACCAAACCTGACCTTGGCTACTATTTCAAAGAGGCAATTTATTTGCTATTATTTGCTCAGTTATTTCACTAAATACTAATTCATATAATTGATATATGGTGGTATCGCAGAAACAGCTGAGTTTGATTTTAATATGGACCAGACATTGCTGGCATCCTTATCCCTGATGAACCTCTTCAAAAATGTGTCCAAAAATGGGCTCCATGCATAGAAACCTAAGCAGTTCAGGGTAAATCAACACCCCAAGTAGATACTTTTAAAAATATGTATTAGAATTGACTTTTCTTTATGAAAATAATGCTTATCAAAAGAAATTCAGAAGCTACAGAAAAGTGGAAAGAAGAAGGAAAAAACTGCCTTTGGTCCCACTGCTCTAAGAATGCCACTTTTCACAGTTAGGTCTGCTTCCCTTGAGTTTCAGGTATATTCATTTTTTAGCGTATTGTAATTACTGCTAACTACAATAGGACTAATAACAGACTTTTAATTACTATTTATTGAAACGTAAACATTTTTTCTATAATTATATCCTCTTTGATTAGTTTTCCAAGTTTGTGTTACAAATATGAATTAAAGACCACAAACGCAGGACCTTAAGACTGAATTTTATGGTTTTGATAGTAGCAACTAACACTGATTCAGCACTTAGGCACCATTTAGCCAGTGGTTAAATGAAAGGCGTTGTCATTTTCTTTTTTCTTATTGTTTTCAGATAGCCTGCATTACTTTATATGCATTATTTCATTTTATATACGTTATTTCAGTCTTCATAATGGTTTATATAAAGTCAGTGTCATTATTCCAATGAAAAAAGGTAAGACTTTTTTTTGAGTTGGAATCTCACTGTCGCCCAGGCTAGAGTGCAGTGGCATGCTCCTTAACCTGCTTGGGCTCACAATCCTTCTGTTTCACCCTTCCAAGTAGCTGGAATTACAGATATGCACCACCATGCCTGGCTAGTTTTTAAAAAATTTGTAGAGATGAGTTCTTGCCAAGTTGCCCAAGCTGGTCTCGGACCCCTGGGCTCAGGCAGTCCTCTCCCCTCCGCCTCCAAAGTGCTGGCATTACAATTATGAGCCACTGTGTTTGGCTGAAAAAAACTAAGACTTTAAATTAATAACTGACTTTCCCACGGAGGCTGTGAAGTAGAGAGATTGAACTTAAATCTCAGTCTCTCTAACGCCATGCTCTAAGCCGCTGTGTCATAGTTGAGGGCATACATATACTAAATTAGCTTCATTTTGCCATTTGTGTACCTTGGGGGGTAGAAGGGATGTTTTCATGATAAGCAGTTATTAAGCATTAAGCTGATGTATAAGTGAATAAGAATAGCAATCCAAGGATGTTGACTGTGTGCAGTGGCTCATGCCTATAAATCCCAAGGGAGGCCAAGGAGGGAGGACTGTCTGAGCCCAGGAATTCAAGACCAGTCCAGGCACCATAGCAAGATCTTGTCTCTACAAAAAAAATTTCAAAATTGTAAAAAAATTAGTGGGGCATAGTGGCACGTGCCTGTAGTCCCATCAGGAGGCTGAGTCAGCATTATTCGAGCCCAGGAGTTTGATGCTGCTATGAGCCATGATTGTGCCACTGCACTCTAACCTGAGCAACAGAGTGAGACTCCAATTCAAAAAATAAAATAAAATAAAAAAGAATAGAAATCCAGTGTGTTTTCTAAACTAGGGGGAAAAAAAGATTGAGGTATTTTATTCTTGAGCTAGATGCAAGAATAGGATGCTTTTGGGGTCATATGTGGTCTGGATCTCTTCTGCATATTTATGATAGAATATATAAAGAAAAAATTTGTAAATAATACAGTTATATTTTGTTTTTACAGCTAATTTGTGAATGGGAGATTGGTTCATGAATATAATATCTCTTGTATTAAACATGTGAAATAAAAGATCAAATGATATCTCAGAATATGACGATAAATTGTGGGGATTTACAAGTTTTGAAAATTGTTCCTGTGGGATAAATGGTCTTCTGAATTAAGTAAAAAACTGTGCTTGATGTAGTTAACAATAAACCGTATTTTTTTAATGTTGTTTAAATTAGGCAACAGCTGTTTACCAAGCAAAAGAGAAACTTAAGTCAATAGAAAAAGCAAGAAAAGGTTAGTACCATGGGAAGACTGACCTGAAAAATTCAAGTTCTGGTTTCAAGAAACTTTAATAAGAGAGGGTATTACTGATAATCATTTGCTGCTATTGAAAGGATTCCAATAATCGATTGTAAATTGTGTTATATTCTAGCATTGTGGTAGGTGTTGTGAGGAAGGTAGAAGTATCGCATCCTTTTCCAGATTATAAAAAGCAATAGGCAATTTATGGCTGTGTACATGAATTTGCACTAAGGACAATAGGTTGATAAAATTGTTGGAAGAAATGAAGAGAGGTATGGGCTGGAAAAAGGTGGGATTTGAGCTGAATCAAGGCTGGGAAAGCAAGAGTGAAAACACATCCATTGCCCAGCTGAACTGGGATGGGAACACCAAGAAGTCAGAACTAAATATTGCTTTGGGGTAGAAGCACATTTAGTGGTAAATTTGAGGCCCACATCCCTTCCTGCCCTGCTATCTCTCTTTCAAAGGCTTCCATTACAGATCTGACTTTAATTTGCCACACTGAAAGTCAGACTTGTGATTAAAACTTCAGTTACCTGCCTTTAATGGTTTGTAAATAGGATTTTATATTTAGTCATCTCGATGTATTGTCTAACTTTCCTCTTTCTTTGGGAACCACTTTTTGATTGTTACATATGAAAAACAGCTAATATCCCCTGTGGGCAGGTTGGTTGTATAAATTACCCATCATGAAATGGAGAGTTGAAAGAATCTCCAAAAAAAATTCACTGAGGTCAAACACAGCCTCTCTCAGCAGTGCTACCTGGTACACTGATGTCAATGGGTACATAGAGCACTTACCTAAGAGGAAAAACCTATACTACAAGGATCCTGCCCTCCAAAGATAATTCTGGTTTTTTTTTTTGAGTTGGAGTCTCACTCGGTCACCCAGACTGGAGTGCAGTGGCCGCTCCCGGCCACCGCAGCCTCGCCTGCTGGGCTCTGACGATCCTTCCGCCTCAGCCTTCCAAGTAGCCGGAATTACAGGCGCGCGCTACCACGCCCGACTGATTTTTTGATTTATTGTAGAGATGAGGTCTCGCTGCCCAGGCGGGTCTCGAACCACGGGCTCAGGCAATCTACTCACCTCAGCCTCCCAAGGCACGGGATTACAGGCTGTTTTATTTTGGTTCCCTCTTGTATTTTAAAACAATCAGGTTGTACCATACAAATTATTTAGCAGTTTAGTTTTTTTCACCTAATGAATACATTGTCTTTTTACTGTTTACATTGTCTTTTTACTTTGGTCTACTAAGAGCCTTGGACCACGTTAATCAAACAGAGCTTGTGAACTGTCTGCTCTGATTTCCTAGCCGATGTCATTGAGAAATGATGCATTGTTTTCTCCATTTTATTTGTACTCACTGTTGGTTTCAGAAGGGTAATGATATTTAATGGTAGTTAATAACTGAGTTTATTGAATGTTATCATGCTGGTCTCCCAAACTTGTTTCTTTATGTCAGCTGATTTTTCTGAATTAGTGTCTTGTTCTTTAATTTAGAGATTTATGTTTACAATATATGCGTATATGCAGGTATTGTTAGGGAAGATGGTGACTGAGATTTTTAAGTATGCTATATAACTATGATAATGTGCACTTCTAAACTTATATGTTTTCTAGACAACAAGGTTACAGTATACCCTTAACTCTCTCAGGTGCTATCTCCTCTGAAGAAATAATTAAGTATGCACATAGGATCAGTGCAAGTAATGCTGTATGTGCTCCACTGACCTGGGTTCCAGGTAAAAATACTTTTCTTTTATACTAGATATGTGTAGTTGTGAAAATTCTTAGGTGACTGTATTCAAAAAATAGGTTTAAATATAGAATGTATTTATTCTTAGAAATATATGCCACATATCTTCACATCTTTAATGTCCTATAAGTAAAGGTGTAGGCCATGGGTTTTATAAATTTGGTTTTCTACAAAGCCATTGCCACTAGGGACTGTGTTTCTTTTCTCTGTTAAAATAATAAATTAATACTTTTTAAAAGTACAAGATAGCCGGGCTCGGTGGCTCAGCCTGTAATCCCGTGCCTTTCGGAGGCTGAGGTGAGTGGATTGCCTGAGCCCGCGGGCTCGAGACCCACCTGGGCAGCGAGACCTCATCTCTACAATAAATCAGAAAATCAGCCGGACGTGGTAGCGCATGCCTGTAATTTCGGCTACTTGGAAGGCTGAGGCGGAAGGATCGCCGGAACCCAGCAGGTCGAGGCTGCAGTGGCCGGAAGCGGCCACTGCTTTCCAGTCTGGGCGAGAGAGTAAGACTCCAACTCAAAAAAAAAAAAGTACAAGATAATAGTAATGTTTCTGATGCTATAGATGTATATACCTGTTAAACCAAGGCTGGCCAGAAGCCAACTTTATAGAGCCATTAGGATTTCTACCAAGGTTCCAGCCTGAGAAACAGGTAATCCCAATTCTCTTAGGTGCAAAAGACTAAGCACTGAACACCCAACAGCAAACACACAGGCCTAGGAAGAGCTGGAATAATTAAAAACAGCAAGTAACATAACAAACTGCAACTATCCTGGCAGTAGATAAAACATAAAACAGGAGGTCTCAGAGCAGCCTTATTGGAGGAATGGGAGAAGTTACCTCCACTTCAGTGACTCCTGAAGGTGACATTAACCCTGCTGTAAGCACTAAGGGTAACTATGGTTTTGGGAATGAGTAATCTGCAGTTGGTGAGAATCACTCCCAAAAAGTTGGTCCAAATCTGGCCATGCTTTTATCTACCCCAAACTGCTACTTACTATGTTTTCCTAGTCAGAGTGAACATTACCTGCTCCTGATATTCCATCAGAATTTTATGGGAAGTAGTCTTCAAGTGACAAGAGCAAAGAGGTTGTTTGGAAAAAGGTTTTGTCTTAGACTAGGTGGCACAGGGGGAAAAGTAAAAAAAGAAACAAAGGTTTTTTTAAAAGATAAATAAAAAACAAAACAAAAAATGAAAGAGGCCGGGCTCGGTGGCTCAGCCTATAAGTCCAGCACTTTGGGAGGCCAAGGCAAGTGGATTGCCTGAGCCTGTGGGTTCAAGACCCACCCAGGCAACTTGGCAAGACCTCGTCTCTACAATAAATCAAAAACTAGCCTAGTGTGGTAGCGCGCTCCTGTAGTTCTGGCTACTTGGAAGGCTGAGGCAGAGGGATCGTTGGAGCCCAGCAGGTCAAGGCTGCGGTGGCCAGAAGCGTACCATTGCATTCCAGTCTGGGCAACAAAGTGAGACTCCAACTCAAAAAAAAAAGAAGAAATGAAAGATTTTTAATTTAGATAGTCCTTTCAATAAACATTCCAGTCTTTTCTGTCTCTAAATATCATGATCTTTTATCCTTCTGAGAATATATCATTGTTATTTTCTTACTAGAAATTGCAGTTGAGTTAGAAGAATTAAGATCATTATAATTTTCTTAAATCGTCATTTGGAATATTTTCTAAAATGACAAACTTCACTTTTTTTAAATATGGAAAATGGTGTATTCTTGGGAAGATTCAGAGAAGAAATAAAAGTACATATGTTTTTAAAATTGATATGTTATGCCCTTAATAATTTGTAAGGTGAATTTCATATTTCAGAATTTAAAATGTAGCTTGAACTTTTCACTGTGAACCAAAGAAAATACTTCAAAGAAGGTATCAATGCTTATTTTTTAATGTGATTGAACTAAAAGAAGTCTTTATTGTTTTAGGGGACCCACGGAGACCATATCCAACTGATTTAGAGATGAGAAGTGGGTTATTGGGTCAGATGAACAATCCTTCTACTAATGGTGTGAATGGTCACTTACCAGGGGATGCACTTGCAGCAGGCAGACTGCCCGGTAATGTTAATACGAGAAATGTTTTCAGACAGACCAGGGTTTTCCAGAGATGATAGTGATGGGGCATCTGGCTGTATAACACATTTGGGGTTCCAGACCCAATTCATCTTAACTGCGAGGTTCTTTGCCAATTTATCTTTCTCTCTCTTATTTGGAAATATTGTGCCATCTTCCTCAGGCATTGGACCTCTCTTCTTTTTATTGTTATTGCTGTAAACATAGCTTTTTTATAATTGTGAAACATGCTGTATAAGTAGAATAAGAAACATATATGTTCAGTTTACACAATATAAAGTGAATGCACTCCTGAACAACACCCAAGTTAACAAAACCAATAACAATAGTTTTTTTATAAACTTTTTATAATTGTAAAATAGAATTTTTATGGGACATAGTTTATTCTAAGCTTCAGTTTTCTCAAGTATTTCATAGGTTTCCACTATTTTTATATTTCTTTTATGTATTCCTCACCTTTTATATTTTGTAGGTGGCTTGTTTTGATGTGATAGAACATCTCGAAGTAGAAAAAGCACAAAAAATTTTAAAATTACTCTTTCTGAAGCAGTTACTTTAAATATTTCAACATGTTTCTTTTCTCCCTATATTTTCACATTGGTAAAAATCTGCTCTACATACTGCTTTTTTGGTTATTGGCTTAACATTACATCCATAGGATGTTCCTGTGCCATTAAAAATGTTTTGTAAGGATCACCTTTGTTAGCCACCTGAAGTACAAACTGGGGAACTCACTTTGATATCCTTGGAGATTGCCTCATCTTTCTCATTGTGGTTGTACAAAATTATATGCTAGTCACAGTCCAGTCCAGAGACAGAAACCACACCACACTTGTAATTTGAACAAGGAAAATTTAACAAAGTACTACTAAGAAATAAAGAGGACTATTTTTTTAAAGTACAGGAAAAACATAAGGGGGGTAGCTACTATATCTAGGACCAAGACGGGGTACCCAGGGAAGGAACAGACTATAAGATAATCTTACCCAGCCCCAATCCAGGGCTGATGTTCATATCAGGGAACAGTCATCAGAAAGAGTGTTGGGTAGCTGTGGTCCACTCTATGGCAAAGAAGTTATATGAGATGTCAGAGTCCAGGGCAAACACCAGGAAATTACCCACTGGAGTTCCAGGGAGACTTGCTGGGAAGCTGCCCTTTAGGATTATAGTGAAACCTAGTGGGAAACCACCCTCGGGGATGCCCCAGAAAGTTGCTGAAGGGAACCACTTGATGTCCTGTATGCTAACTAGGCACAACAGGAGTAAAAGAAGAAAACAAAACAAAACAACCAAATCTGATCTGGAACTTCACCAGCGCCCTCTACTGACAGAGCTTAACATCCTGACAGCTGACAAAGAAGAAATGGTTTCAAGGCAGAGAGAAGGGTAGATTTGAAGCTAACTGACATACCATTCTAGTTAATACCATAACTCTTGACCCTTTTAAAATCTGCCATCTTTTTTTCAGTAATGAATTATACTTGTTTATGTGCACTGTTCCTTTTCTTTAGAAATACAGACTTTTAATGTGACTTGGGTCCTTTTTTTAAGATTTCTTATACATACATTGCCAGTCAACCTCTTTTTGATCAGTCATTTACAACAGTGGTTCCTCTATCTTTTTTTTTTTTTTTAAGTGAGAAAGGAGGATTTATTGAGGACAGAAAAGCTCCCACAGTGGGAGGGGGCCCGAAGGGGTTGCCCGGTTCCTCTATCTTCTAAGAAACTGTTCAAAACTATTATAATACTTGATGAAGAAGAAAGTAACATTTATGAGATACAGAATAATCTACATGACCTAATGTATATAATTATGTATTATATGTACATATAGTATATACAGAGACATAGGAAATATTGAATTTATAATTGTAAATGTCTCAGAAAAGAAAAATTATGTCAACTATTTGAATAGTTTCTTATGGAGTAGTATGTTATTTAAAACAAAAAACACGTTCCCAGTTGCTAAAACATCACACTTTTCCTTGATAAATTTGATGTTCATCACTTTGGCCAAACATGTATTTTTTCCCTAACCTTAAAAAAAGGTACTTCAAATTATTTTCATTAAGGGAAAAGTAACTAGGAAGTAGATTAATTACAAAGAGAGCTATTCTCATGTGTGCTCCTTTCTTTTCTCCAGATGTCCTTGCTCCACAGTATCCATGGCAGTCGAATGATATGTCAGTGAATATGCTACCACCAAATCACAGCAGTGACTTTTTGTTGGAACCTCCTGGGCATAATAAAGAAAATGAAGATGACGTAGAGGTTATGTCAACAGACTCCTCAAGCAGTAGTAGTGACTCTGATTAAGAAACTGTTAAAAGACAGCAACAGAATTGAATACTGTAGAATTCTGTTTCTTAAACATTGCAGGGAAATGTAAACTATTGGCTCGATAGCATTGTGCAGCTGGTTAAAAATCGAAGTGAACTTAATCTTCAAAGCCCAAAATCATGGTTTGAGTTAAAATAACCCACTAAGCAGATATTTAGGGGATAGTCAAAATTTACTGTTGGAAAAAAAAGATGTAGTTGTTCAGTATTGTCTTAACCTGTTCTGTTCCAGTTATACTGGATTTGTACATGGTCGTTCTGGAAATAGATTTGAGGGAAATGAACTATGTACATATCACTAATAAGCTTCCTGGAATTATTTAGAAAAACATTTTTAAAAAGGCAGTGTATTACTGAATATGCGTCATAATTTCAAAATAACAAAGCCCTCATTTGAAAGTGAAGGCTCTTGACTTCTGTTACAAGAATGGGAAATTGCCTCAATTTGTACAGTTTGTAATTATTGTAATTTTTGTAAATAAATGTACTTTTGTTTGTACCTGTATGCTTTTTTAAAAAAGTTTAAATACACAATCGCTGTAGGCAGGAAATTACTTCTATAAATTCAGTTGCATTTTACCATACTTGAGGTAGGATTCTGAGAATTATTATGCTATAGCAAATATATCTGAACTAGTAATCACATCTAATAGGTTTCTCAAAGGCCCACCCACACTTCTATTCTAAGAAGAAATAAAGATTTTTTCTCAATAATTGAGAAAATTTACCATAGTCATGCCTGATTTTGACAATACATCACGTGAAAAGATTTAGAATGGAAGACAGCCATCTCTTGCCCTTACCGTCCCTCTTCTTATCATACTTTCCAGAAGAAACCACTTTTTAACCACTTAGTTTCTGGTGGTTAACCTCCATGTTGAAATAATATGTTTATACAACTTCTTGACTTATCAGTTTTAGACAGTCTTTTTTTTTCTGATTGCAAAAGTAACATAACATCTATTTTGGAACATTTAGCAAAGCACAAAGGAGAAAATAATATTGTTAACATTCTACCCAGAGATAATACCAATTAACGTTTTGGTGTTGATTATTTTTCCTATTAAGGATACACATATATGCTTTTATTTTTTATTTTTTTATTTTTTGAGTTGGAGTCTCACTCTGTCACCCAGACTGGAGTGCAGTGGCACGCTCCCGGTCACTGCAGCCTCGACTTGCTGGGCTCCAGCAATCCTTCTGCCTCAGCCTTCCAAGCAGCCAAAACTACAGGCGCGTGCCACCACGCCCGCCTAATTTTTTTGATTTATTGTAGAGATGAGGTCTCGCCAAGTTGCCCAGGCGGTTCTAGAACCCGCAGGCTCAGGCAATCCACTCACCTCAGCCTCCCAAGGCACGGGATTACAGGCTGAGCCACCGAGCCCGGCTGATGGTGTTTTTTTAATTGTTAATCTCTATTCTTCACATAAACAATTCAGATTTTCCAACATTTTTCCTTTTGATTATTTTTTGTCTAGAAAAACTAGAAAGTAACATTTAAAGAAGAAGTTAATCTACATCTATAATTTTTTTTTTTTTCAGTTGGCGTCACTCTGTCGCCCAGACTGGAGTGCGGTGGCCACTCTTGGCCACTGCGGCCTCGACCTGCTGGGCTCCGGCGATCCTTCTGCCTCAGCCTTCCAAGTAGTTGTAACTACAGGCACGCGCTACCACGCCTGGCTAATTTTTATTTTATTTTATTTATTGTAGAGACGAGGGCTCACCAAGTTGCCCGGGCAGGTCTCGAACCCGCGGACTCAGGAATCCACTCACCTCGGCCTCCCAAAGCATGGGATTACAGGCTGAGCCACTGAACCCGGCCTACATCTATAATTAAGTACATGTAGTTAGGTGCGGTGGCTTACGCCTGTATACCAAACACCTTGGGAGGCAAAGGCAAGAGGATTGCCTGAGCCCATGGGTTTGAGACCAGCCTGGGCAACATGGTGAGACCTTATCTCTACAATAAATTTAAAAATTGGCTGGGTGTGATGATGCATGCCAGTAGTTTCAGCTACTTGGAAGGATGAAGCAGAAGGATCGTCTGAGTCCAGGAGGTCAAGGCTGTGGTGACCATGAAAAGCATGCCACTGCACTACAGCCTGGGTGACAGTAATATCTGAATGTCTTTTCCTCCAGGCTTAATTTTTTGAATGGACTAATACACTGATTTTAACCTTGACGTCTTCAAATACTAGGAATATTTTTTTTCCCTGCGGATATAGTTTTTATAAAATTTACTTTAGTGGCTAACATTCCATTGTGCGATGTGCCATTATGTAAGTGCTTTTTTTTTTTTTTTTTTGATTGGAGTCTCACTCTGTCGCCCAGACTGGAGTCCAGTGGCCGCTCCCAGCCACTGCAGCCTCAACTTGCTGGGCTTCAGCGATCCTTCCGCCTCAGCCTTCTAAGTAGCCAGAACTACAGGTGCGTGCCACCACGCCCGGCTAATTTTTTTGATTTATGTAGAGATGAGGTCTCACCAAGTTGTCCAGGTGGGTCTGGAACCCGCGGGCTCCCAAAGCGTGGGATTACAGGCTGAGCCACCGAGCCCAGCTGTAAGTGCTTTTTTTATCAGTGGAAACTTAGGATGTTTTTGCTGTTATAACATTTGTATACAAACTTGTTTTTGTGCCATATCTTTAGGATAGATTAAAAAGGAATGTTTTTTTTAAAGCTCTTTGATACTGTGTTAGTTTTCAGTTGCTGCTGTAACAAATTACCACAAACTTGTTGGCTTGAAGCCAGTTTTGTACCTCAGACGTGCACAGTGGGTCTCCCTTGGCTAAAATCAAGGTGTACGCAGGGCTGCATTCTTTCCTGGAGGCTCAAGGGAAGAGTCTGTCTCCTCATCTCTTCCAGGTGTTAGAAGCCACGCTGGTTCCTTGGCTCAGATTGTGGTGGTTGAGTCTTAGTCATATTGCATTACTCTCCCACATGGATAGGATCCTTGAGATTGTACTGGACCCACTGGATTATCCCATTTGATGATCCTTTATCTTGAAGTCGACTGATTAGCAACCTGTATTTTGTTTGCATCCTTATTTCTTCTTTGCCATATAACAACATTCAAAGGTTCTGGAGATTAGTATTTAGACATCTTTGGGGAGAAGGGTCATATTCTTCATATCACAGATAAATAATCCAAACTTTTCTCCTGCAGATTACACAAATGTATACTCCTTCAGCAGTATATAAAGAGTAAGACAAACTTAGTATAGAAAGTATTAAGTCAAATATAAATCTATGTAGTGTATTTCTGAATATTTTTTAAATATAATTTTGTGTGTGTGAGTATTGAAGTAGATGCCTTTAAAATAACTGCCTCTGGAAATAGTTTGTCTACTAAAAGAACATAAACTCAAATTATCTTCAGGGACCAGGCTGCTAACACAAATGTAAGGAGTGGCTAAGAATTACTTAATAGGGAGTGGTAGGATTTGTGGCCAAAACTAAAGTGTATGCCCAGGCATTTAAAATTCGATTATATAAAATGTGGGACGAATCTATCCCAGAAGTGTCAGGTTTTTGTGGAGATGGGATCTCGCTATGTTGCCCAGGCTGGTCTTAAACTCCCAGATCCAAACAATCCTCTCACCTCAGCCTCCTCCTGGGACTACAGGCACAAGCTGCCACACCTGGTTCACAATTGCCATCTTGTATAACTTTGTTGCTTTGGGAACATAGGGTGAGATCTGCCTAAGAATTTTGTATTCCGAGGTTGGGAGTAGACAAGCCCTTGTCCCTTAGCAGCATAAAGAGTTATTTTATTTATGAGCCAGGGTCTCACTCTGTCACCCAGGTTGGAATGCAGTGGCATGATCACAGCTCACCACAGCCTCAATCTCCTGGGCTCAGATGATCATTCTGCCTCAGCCTCCGTAGTAGGGTGCACCACTATGCCTGGCTGTTTTATTTTATTTTTTATTTTTGTAGAGATGAAGTCTTGCTATGTTGCCTAGGCTGATCTCAAACTCCTGGCTTCAAACACTTACCTTGGCGTCCCAAAGTGCTGGAATTACAGGCATAATTTTAAATTTATTTTTAAATGGTAAAGGGAAATGAGTTGAGGCTAAAAAGGATAGAGGAAGAATAACTTAGTATTTGCAAAGCTACACTTCTCTGAACAGATTTCTAACTTTGTGCACAGGAATTCACTATCTTGTATTTGGTTCTGTGTCCCCTTTAAGGAAATCTGTAGGCTTTTTACTCCTCCCTTCTAATAGGGATAGCTTTGCAACTGGGTATATCAGGCAGGCAGTTTTTTTGAAATGTTCTTGGTAATAGACTTTTAACTGTTCAAGTTACAAGTTACTCTTCTAGTAATCTTACTCTTCTACCTTCTGCTCTACCTGTGACACATGGAATGCATGAGTGTCTCTGGGTAGGTTTCTGCTTTCTTAAGACAGCGCTTGGCACAGTGTAGGTCCTCCATAAATATTTACTGCAAGAATAAATCTTAATTTATATCCCTGGTGGACTGGTTTCAAAATGAAAACTATAAGGGACCGCTTTACCCCTCCTGTTTAGAGCCTGGAACTAAGCCAGAATCAGCTTAATGCTGGACCTTTGTGGGGTGCCCTGCCCGAGTCTCCCCTAACTACACAACCAGTGCAAAGAATTAACTACCCATAGTGCTCACAGGAGGGAGAAGAGAGAATAACCAATTGCATAAAGAGGCATTTCTGAGACAATTGATATTTAATTATGAACTAGGTTTTAAATGATTTTTTAAAATTCCATGAACAGTTAAACTGGCAGTGTGGTTCCGTAAGGATATGTCTGCATGTTGAGCTGAACTGTGTATGGGTGAAATGGTGGTGATGCCAAGGATTGTCTTAAAGATGTTACAGAGTGACACTGGTGGGCATGATTGAGAAAGGACCCCTGAAAAGCCTCTCCTCCCTAAAAGCAATGAGAACCACAAAAATGTTAAAATGAACTTCTCCAGAATTCTGGAAATTAACCAAAGGCAGAGTGTTTATTCAAAAAAAGTCACCCGAAACTGTGAGAACAAGTATTTGTGGTAGCCTTGACAACCAACAGTCCTGATGAAAACCAACAGCCACTCGAGGGTGCAGAATGTGCAAAACACCATTCTTAGAATTGCCATTCTTTGACCTGTCTGGAAAGTTCTCTGGAAAGCCCCATTCACAAGTTTTGAATGACTCAGAGCTCACTTGTTCATTGTTAATAGTCTTTTTTCTGGGAGCATTTGTCAAAAACAATCAGTGACAATATTTTAATATCACAGCTGCCAGGGGCTGCAATAAAATTGGAGCAAACAAGAAGCTGACTAAAAACTTAAAAGGAAAATCTGGGAAATAAGACACTGCTCAGTCTCTTGCAGGCACTTTGTTAAATTTATTCCTTACTGTTTTGTTCTTTTTAATGCTATTGTAAATAGAATTATTTTCTGTGGACTGGGCTTTGAAAAATTTGGACATATTGGGAATCTAGAAGACCACATGCATGCTCAGTGTTATGTGTATGCCCAGGAAAT